ATTTGCAAAATAGACAGCATTCTCAGGATGTGAAATACATGTAGAGACAAAATATTCAGAGAAATCAAGAGACTCCTAAAACCTGAGGTCTTGAGACATTTCAACTCCCCACTGCCTTCTATTCTCTTGACCAAAAGAAGTCAGTGTGTGTTCCTACGTAAGTCAAGGTAAGTCAAGATGTTTAAATTCTTTTTTTTTTTTTTTTTTTTGGTTTTTGGGTCACACCCGGCGACGTACAGGAGTTACTTCTGGTTCATGCACTCAGGAATTACTCCTGTCAGTGCTCAGGGTACCATATGGGATGCTGGGAATCGAACCTAGGTCAGCTGCGTGCAAGGCAAATGCCCTACCCGCTGTGCTATTGCTCCAGCCCAAGATGTTTAAAATCTTTAAATGTTAAAACAAGGATTAGGAATTGCTGAGGCTGCTAGACATCTATTATACCAGAATAAACAAATAATATAATAAACCTACTTCTATTTTCAAATCACTGACGCTGTCCTCCCATTGTTCATCGATTTGCTTGAGTGGGCACCAGTAACATTGTGAAACTTGTTCCTGTGTTTGGCATATAGAATACATCACGGGTAGCTTGCCAGGCTTTGCTGTGCGGGCGAGATACTCTCAGTAGCTTGCCGGGCTCTCTGAGAGGGGCGGAGGAATCTAACTGCGGTCAGCCATGTCAGTTGCGTACAAGGCAAACGTCCTACCCGTTGTGCTATCGCTCCAGTCCCCAAATCAAGTTTTAATACCAAGACAAGTAATATATTACATTTGACAGATGTACACTATCACTTCGTAGTGAACATGCTGCACAAAGTAAAAATGGTATTATTCTGAAGAATTGATTTTAGAACAAGGTAATTCTTCTTAGACACACAAAGGAAAACATAATTTTTCTGACCGAGCTATTTTTTATGCATATTTTCAATATGTGTTGAAGGGCTATGTAGTCTCGGTATCAAAGAACTTAGTAAATAGAATTATTTTCTGTTCATATGACTTGCACTATTTACTGGGAAGGGCCTCTAAATCAATACTTAGGTAACACTTGCAGATCTGAAGACACTTAGATTTACCTGGTGACCATTGTACATACATTTGACAATACTCATGCCAAAGATCAAGTACAACGTCATTGGCCTGACAAAGATGAGAAGGCATCAACCACATCACGCCATTTTTGACACTGGAGAAGAACTGTTCCTTGGAATATGCGACAAAAGAGGCGTCGGTGGTGTCAGTGTCCTTGTCAACACGAACTTGACCATGAGCATTGATTCATTCAAATGCATAACAACCTGAATTGGACGATTACACTTGAATAGATGTGGCTCACTGCTGGCAGTTTCAATCTTCGTTGTCTACTCGCCAACATCCAATTATAATGAAGAAATTGACAAGTTCTACATGGAGCTGCAGAAGTTCTCTAAAGAAGACCACACCTTCTACAAGATCATTGTTGGTGATTTTAATGTCAAGATAGGACTAAGAAGATCAGCCGAAGAACTCCACATTGGGACCCATGGCCTAGAATGGGATGAACAAGGTGAGAGACTATCTGAGTTCATCATGTTGACCAAGACCATCCATGGTAACTTACAGTTCCAGAAGGCCGAATCTAAACAATGGACATGGGAGTCTCCCAGTGGAAGGTTCCACAACGAAATTGACCACATCATATTCAATCAATGGTTTTGCCTGACTGTTGTGGCTGTTGTCCCAAAATTCCAAATGGAATTGGACCACCATCTCCTTCGTGCAAAATTCTACTTCACTGAACAGGGAGAAAGGGTTTCAAAGTTTAAGAAGAGAACTCCCAGAAAGAGCACCAACTGGGAGATCTTTGGCACTATTGCGGCAACATGGGAAGATGCCATCATTGACAACACTGATGAAGAATACAATTGACTAGTTCAGAGATAGCTAAGAGGACGAAGAACCTTCGACTCCAGGTATAACTCTTCGATTCCACTATTCTTCTTGCATTAACATATGCCTCAGAGACCTGGGCCCTACGAAAACAGGATGAGAACACTATTCGGGTCTCCCAAAGAGGAATTGAAAGAGCTATACTTGGAGTATCACGCTTCACTCAAGTGAGAGAAAGAACCCAAAAACTGGTAAAAATGTAGAAAGAAAGAAAGAAAGAAAGAAAGAAAGAAAGAAAGAAAGAAAGAAAGACAAGTATTCATTACAGGTTGAAAGAAAAACATAATAATATGTGTATATTATTATTATTATTATTATTATTATTATTATTATAAAACAGGGTGATACCATTTCACTGAAACTCTTCAGTGCCACCCTCCAGAATGTCATGCGATGACTGGAATGGGAAGGAATGGGAGTGAAGATAGACGGTCAGCATCTACACCACGTCTGCTTCACTGATGACATTGTTCTAATATCACCAAACATTAGCCAAGCAGCACAAATGCTGGGCGACTTCAACTGTGAGTGGAAAGGTCGGACTACAGCTAAATCTCACGAAGACAATGTTTATGAGAAACGAACTCGTAATTGATGTTCCATTCGCTCTCAACAGAACAAACTCTCTGAATGCAACAGTTATGAGTTCCTAGGTCGAGAAGTCAACATGACAAATGTCCTGGCACCTGAGTTGCGCAGGAGGAAGAGAGCAGCTTGGAACGCCTTCAAGAGTGTCGAAGAAATAGCTAAGAGAATGAAGAATCTACGGCTCTGGGCACATCCCTTTGATTCCACTGTTCTTCCTGCATTCACATATGTCTCAGTGACCTGGGCCCTACGAAAAAGGATGAGAATGCTATTCAGGTCTCCCAAAGAGGAATTGAAAGAGCTATGCTTGCAGTATCATGCTTCACTCAAGTGAGAGAAAGAATCCAGAGTTCTGATCTCCATCGATGATTGAGAATCAAGGATGCTGTCTCGTTTGCCAAGACATGGAAAATCAGATGGGCCGGACACGTAATGAGATTTGGAGATGACTGCTAGACTAGAGCCTTTGTGGACTGGATTCCATGGGATGTCAAAAGATCATGTGGCCCACCTACAAGATGGTTAGACTTATTTGTCAAGATCCTGAATGATCGGTTTGAGGCTCTTCATGTTCCTGGAGCGAGCAGACGCCATTGAGCTATGCTAGCACGCGACAGGGACGAATGGAGACATTACTGGCACCCGCTCGAGTAAACTGATGAGTAACAGGATGTCGAGTGATCAAGTGATCAAGTGATCACTTTCTATAATGGAGAATGAGATACAGGATATTGGTAAAAGACCTTGATAATGGAGTCACCAAAAAGTGATCATAAACAAAAATTCATGGATTTTCTACTTACTTAGAACTCATTTGAAAAACTGATATTAATAGTCCCATAAATGACAAAATTAAACTGCGTGTTTAGTCATTTGATTTAAAATTCATAAAAGTGAAGAGGAGGATTGAGAGAAATGAGGAGACAAATCATTATGGTGATGGGATGGCTCTGGACCTTTAGTAGTATGAGCTGTGATGATAGCACACATATGCAGGTATGAAGCTAAGTCCCTGAAATTTAATAATATAGTAGAGCAAAGATCAATGAAAAAATATTGCAATTTAGATGTAAACCAATTATAATACTTAAAAAGATGCCATAAAAGTGGGTTTCTCATGTTGCTCAGGGGTAAATCTCATGTTTCACATGTATGAAGCCTGGGGCTCAACCTCAACATCACATGCACATGTAAAAGAATTACTTAGTATTTTACCAAACTACTTAGTAAATGGTAATTCAGAGTTCACTACGATCATTTTGTCATTTGCTATTATACGCACATTGATACATGACTAATATTAAGAAAGTACTTCATTATAATTAACATAAATATACTCCCTCATTCTAGATAGTCACATATGCATGCAATTAAATCACCTGCAAACTATCTTCATGAGTGAGCCATGCTGAATCAGCCACCAGATGCTATTTTAATAATAATTTTTACAGTGTATATAATTAAATCAAAATTCTCTACAAATTACTAAGTCAACCAGCCACTTGTGCATGTTTATAGCAGTTACCCATTTAGAAAAATTACAGTTTTACATGGCCAGAATGAAATTTTTAACACCATCTGTGCCCTAATGTAAAACAAACTGAAACAAAAAAGCTATGTTTGAAAGATGTTAAAATATTACATTCAAATACCATTAGTAATCATATCTTTTTTCTCCTTAAATTTATTATCCAACTTTTTATTATATAGTATGCATGTAGAGAATTTTAATTCTTTACCTATACATTTTTCCCCTGGTCCCGCTATTATAAAAATTGTGTGTCTATTCCACAGTTCCATCTGTACTGTTCCGCTCTATCATGACCTAGTCTTCACATTCATTTTCCCATTCCAGACCAATAGAAGAGCCAACTAAAATTCATGAAAGTAGAATATCCTTTAAATATCTTTCCTTAAGTATCATACTAAGCGAAATGAGCCAGAAAGAGAGGGACAGACATAGAAAGATTGCATTCATCTGGGGAATATAAAGTAAAAAAATAGGAGACTAACACCCAAGAATAGCTGAGATAAATACCAGGAGGTTTACTCCATGGCTTGGAGGCCAGCCACACACACTAGGGGAAAAGACAGCTCAGATAGAGAAGGGAGCACCAAATAAAGGGTGTTGGGAGGATCCTCCCAGGATGGGAGAAGCATGCTGAAAGTAGACTATAGACCAAACATGACTGCCACTCAATTCCTCTTTTGCAAACCACAGCACCCAAAAGGAGAGAGAGAACAAAAGGGAATGCCCTGCCACAGAGGCAAGGTGGGATAGGGGGAATGGGGGGTGGGAGGGATACTGGGATCAGTGGTGGTGGAGAATGGGCACTGGTGGAGGGACGGGTACTCAATCATTTTATACCTGAAACACAAGCACAAAAATTTGTAAGTCTACAACTGTACCTCATGGTGTTTCACTAATAAAAATTTAAAAAAGAAAAAAAATAAATCTTTCCTTAAAAGTTGTCTTCAAAAAGACTATACTGTCAGGGATCATTTCTGTAGTTCGTTACTCGAGAAGTATCTGTGATCATTTTTAGAGTGCCCGAAACTCCGAGGATGAGGCAGGGCATCTTCCCCTGCATATGAAGATGGTTCAAGATGTTCCTTCTGCAACAGCATTTTTCCATTGATGATTGTTCTTCTCTTCACTTGGAAGAGGGAGAGGGAGAGGATGCAGTTCAAGTGGCGAAAGTGGGGAGATTTGTCTTCACAGGCTTGAGTCAGGGACTACAATTCCACGTCTTGACATCTACCCCCAAGGCCCCAAGACACTATTTAAAAAAGAGATTTAAACTCTTTGTTCATTGTAGTACTATTGTCAATAACCAAGATGACTATGATACAGATGACTGGATAAAGAAACTATGGTAGACATCCACAGTGGAATATTACTTGGCTATAAGGAAAAAAGAAATTTGCCTCTATGTGTTTGGAACTGGAGGGTATCATGCTGAGTGAAGTCGGCCAGAGGAGGAACAGATTCAGAATAATCTTGCTCATTTGTGGGATATAAGGAAACATGGTATGGGAACAACAAATGGTGAAAAATAACAAAACATGAGAACTGGTTTATAGTACTAAACTTACCAAGGGCTAGAGGGTTCGGGGGGTGGAAAAGGATACTGAGACAGTGGTGGGGGGAAGCAGACACACTGGTGGAGTGTGTGGTGTTGGAACATGGTGCGCATAAAACTCTATCATTAACAGTAAGTAAGTTACTTAATCAATGGCTGGACTCCTACATTATTTAAAAAAGAAAAAGCATCACATACCATGGTCAAATAGGATTTATTATAGGGATGAAAGGATGTTTCATTACCCACAAATCAGTGCGATGAATATATAAGCAAAACAAAAAAAATCAATTGAACGTCTCACCAGGTTAAAAACTGAATTTGCCAATGCTCAACAGCCATTTAGCATATCCCAATGGAGTAGATATGGAGAGAAAACAGCTCAGCATCATGTCAGGCTCACAGCCACATGGTTACCAGTGAAAAGCTGAAATATTCTCTAAGACCAGAAACAAGACAAAGATGCACATTCTCCCTAATTTTTTTTAAATAATGTAGGAGTACTGCTATGTGTTCAGCCATTGATTAAGCTGTTTGAATTGGGCATGAACTCCACTTTACTTTTTTTCTTAATTGTGTCACCGTGAGATAGAGTTACAAAGCTTTCATGTTTGAGATTCAGCCATACAATGATGGAACACCCATCCCTCCACCAGTGCACATTTTCCACCACCAATGTCCCAAGTATCAGCCCCCCACCACCCCAACACACACACATCACAGGCCTCACTCTGCCTCTATGGCAGACAATTTTGCCAATACTCTCTCTCTCTAATTTTGGGATATGGTGTCTTCTGGGACTTGCTGCTGTGTCTCTGGGCCAGGGCTGTTGGTGTGCTAAGATGGTGCCCGGAGGCTAATTGTGGACATAACAGCCAGTCTTCTGGGTGGGCAGGGACAGCCCTGCCCACCCAGTCTTCTGGGTGGGCAGGGACAGCTGGAGAGGGACAGCCCGGGTCCTCTGCCACCATGCAGCTTGTAGATTTAGTCCTGGAACTCGCATACCTGGGCCTTGCTTGTAGAAGCTCTTAGTCACCGGAATTCCATCTGGAGTGGGCTCGGAGACTGCACCTGCTCCACCTGGGGTGCCCCGGTGATATTGGCTCAGTTTGGGGCCCAGAGAGATCTCCAATGCTGTGGTGTCTTCTGGGACTTGCTGCTGTGTTTCTGACACAGGGCTGTTGGTGCGCCAAGATGGCACCTGGAGGCAAATTGTGGGTATGACCAGGACTTGCCTCTGTGTCTCTGAGCCAGGGCTGCTGGTGCGCTAATATCCACATTACAAAATTTTCAGCGTATTATATTTTGGTGAAGTTCATCCTAAGACGGTGGAGTCAGGCTTGGGGAATGGCAGCAATTTTGGATTGTGGAAGCAAGTGGCCACCGGGGACTCTGCTTGGGCGGGCACGGGCCAACCCGCCCCCTCCAATTTACTCTGGTCTGTTCAGCCATGTATGGGTCCAAGCTTGACTGAGGCTTTTGATCTCTCTTGAGATTTATTTAGGGGTCTTTGAGGCAAGACCAATAGTAGAGCTTACAGGGTTTCGCTGGAGTTGTTTTGTGGGAGTGACTACCAGTGCTTCCCATGTATTGGGAAGTGGGGGAGGTAGCCCATCCCAACTCTGAGTGAACTTGTATAGCTGAGCCGGAGGTGGTTTGTGGGTATAACTCCCACATACCTAACTTTTGGCCGTTTAATTTCTTGGTAAACTTGTTCCCAAGTTGTTGGGGTCTGGCCAAAGGCACAGCGGCAATTTGGGGGGTACCAGGAAGCCTGAAGGCAACATCAGGCTGCTGATGCACTCGCCCTGCAGGTACAGGTTGACCTGTTGGTGGCACCATACCCCCGACTCTCCCCATTTTAATAGGCATTATGTTAGAAATTCTAGCTAGAACAGTGAAGAAAGAGAAAGATGTTCAAATCAAAAAAGAAGTAACTCACTCTTTGCAGATGGTATGCTATAAACATAAAATATTACAGGTGCCACAAAAAACTATTGGAACAAATTTCATAAAATTGTTGGATACAAATTTAAAATACAAAAGTCTATTTCAGGACCAGAGCAATAGTACAGCAGGGAGGGTGTCTGCCTTGCATGCAGCCGACCTGGGTTCAATCCCTGGCATCCCATATGTTCCCCCAAACACTGCCAGGAGTAATTCTTGAGTGCGGAGCCAGGAGTAGCCCCTGAGCATTGCAGGGTGTGACCAAAAAAGCAAAACAATAAAATAAATCAAAAATGAAAAAAAAAAGAGTACTGTAAGTTAAAGAATGCTGTATCTCAAAAAAGAATGCTGTATTTTGGAGGTTATACTAATTGTTAACTGAAAATATCTTGAAAATGTAAAATATCTTCAAAAACACAAAACTCAGGGGATCTTGAGAGATAATACAGAGGGCAGGGTACTGTCCTTGCTAGCAGTTGACCCAGGTTTGATCCCCAGCACCCCATAGTAACCTGAGCACCCCCAGGAGTGATCCCTGCATGCAGAGCCCTGAGTAAGCTCAGATATGGCCTCCTTTGCCCACACTCAAAAAAAAGCAAAGCTCTGAATTCTACATCACTCCCAGTGAATGTGAATTTTCCATCATATTTCCACATTGATATGAAAAACAGATGTATAAAATCATGAGACATAATTTCACAATTTCACAAGCTTTGACTAAATGAGATACTTTTCTAAGATGATAAGTACAAAGAGGATTGCCTGCTATGGCTTTCCAAATCTGAAATTCCTTCATGGAAACCTGTGCATCTCTTTGTTTGTGGCGGTGGGGGAAACACTAAGCATCTTTGAGTTAGAATATGTAATTCCCACAAGAGGAATTCATTGTGAGTTCATTGGTGCCTTTAGCTTCTTCAGCTAAATGTCAAACTTTTTACATTGAAAACCCTTTTAAATCTGTTTCTTCCCAGTTTGTATTAATCCCAAGCTATGTCTCTCCCATATTCTTTCCCTTTTGCTGTAATGAAATGAAACACTTTGATCCATTAATGGAATGTAGTTGACCTTATGCACTCTCTGTCACAATGTTGATTCACAGCCACAAGGAGCAATGGGCAAGAAGCCAGGTTGTAGATAGCGTCTAAACTCCAGCAATAGTTCAGATGTGTGCTTACTTAATGGGCCCCTCTGTCTTGAGCGAGTGGCTTGCCTGTCACATTAGGTACAGCTTTCTCATGGTAGAAATTAGTTGTACACAAATTCTTTTTCTAAAAGACAATTTTATAGAATCACCATTAAGTAGACCATTGCAAAGCTTTTTGTGATTGAGTTTTCGTCATGTACCCTATTCTTATCACCAATGGAGTCCTAAAACTCTTAGTGACCAGGATGAGGTACTTCCCTGAAACAACTTGTATAACTAAGTCCGTTCCCATACTCAAGGACCCTGACCAGGAAAAAGAGGAAAGGGGATTCATGTTTAGTGAGCATATATCTTCATTGAATATTTTAATATATACCTTAATAATAGGTGATAGTATTATTATTAAACCTTGCTATTTCATGGAAACTAGGTGAAATATTATTCATAGTGAGTGTAATTATTCATGAGAACACTGGCTTAATACATAAGACTGGGTTTTAGCTAGGTTGAGACTCCAGGTCTCTGGTTCTGATATCAGTGTTATATTTTTTTTACTTGACCATACTGCTTCCATGATATTCTGGGAATTTTGTTTAGCTCAGTAAATAACCTAGACTCTGCACACAGGGATCACTCCTGGCGGTGCTCAGGGTACGATAGGAGTGTTGGGAGTCAAATTTGGGTCCTCTATCAGCAGCATACAACGGATACCAAAAATAAAACTGCACTATTGTTTTATTGGTCACAAAATTGTCATTTGATGTGACATCTCACAGCCACTGCCATGTAAGCAATGGCCCAGCGTCACAACTTCACCACTAATCTTGAAAGAGATGCAAGCCAAGCAGCTTAAACTCATGTGTACACGGGTCTTTGGGCTGAAAACTCTGGGGTGCCCCCAGAAGGGGGATGAGTCGAGTCCCCACTCTGCTGAAGCTCTAGTAGCTGCAGCCACACCCCAAAGTCACTGCCGGGCAAACCATGCAAATAGCTCAGACTGACTGCTTCACTAATAATCTCTGCGGACAGGCCAAGCTGATGAAAAATTTCAAGCACACTGGGTTTTGGCTGAAAACTCTGGGATCTCCTCAGAGAAGAGTCCAGAACCCTCCTTCCCCTTTCCCCCCCAACTCTGAAACTGCCAGAAGCCCTAGAAGCCACACCCATATTTCACAGCCGCCACCATGCAAGCAATGGGAGAGCCACAGCTTCACCACTAATCTCAGAAGAGATCCAAGCCAACTCAAGCTGCAGACATTCACCGGCTCAGTTCTACAGATCCCAGAGTTCCCGGACCCCTCCAAATTTCACAATTTTGACAGCCCTGTAGGAGTACACCAAATTAGATAGGAAGGCAGCATAGAAACTCAATAAACAAAAATAATGACACAGAAGTCTCAACTACCAACAAACAGCTTAGTAAACCCATTTTGATCCATTTTGAACTTAAACGATCCCACTGGGAGTTAAAACAATTTTCAATATTTTACTTTTACTAGAGTATTTTTTGATAATTCCATTA